GACGGGCCGTGTTTTAATCCCAGTCCCGCGGGGAACGCGCGTCCCACTCTCCGGCAGAGGAGACACGGTTCGTGCAGCGCTGAGCTGAGGGGACGTCCTTAAGCGTGTTCCCCCCTGCTAACGCGTTTTGTGCGTTCTGGGTCTTTCCAGCCTTTGCAATATTGCCTCCAAATAGATAGGTAGATATTCCTTCTGTTTGTACCGAAAGACAAGGGTGAGGGGTTGGACTCTGGTAGGTAGTGTCCTAGGCTTTCAGAGTGGCTCAAATTTATTCTAAATTGACAAGTTTGGAGAGTTCTGTTGTCCAGATAGTTTGCTCCAATCCTAGGATTAAATAAGCCTGTGGATATATGCAATTTTACATAGTGCCTTTCATTTCAAAGGATCCCAGAGTGCTTTATAGATTGTCTACAAACAGGAGTCACTCGCCGCTGAAATGCAATCTAATGGAACGTGATTTTTCCACAGCATAGAGCAGCGTTACACTATTGGATGGGAACAAGAAGTGATGAATATTAGACCCATGCAAAATAGAGAAGCCATCTTAGAAGGTTACCTTGGTATTGTTGATGGGCTGGCAAATGTCATATTTGTTAGACTGAAAATACAGTACTGAACAGGGTCAATTTTGAAAGCTATGGATAGTGATTTTTTTAATGAATAGTGACTCATTATAATTGTTTTCCTTCTGCTGTCAGGGCTATTCTGAATCCCCAGATTTGGAATTCGAATATGCAGACACAGATAAATGGTTTGCAGAGCTGTCAGGTATGGAAATTAAACCTCATGTTGGTTTTTGCTCACTGGTTATCAAAAGAACATTATTAACTCAAAAATAATACATTTTCATATGACTGTTTTAGTTTAATTAATAAAACATTAAAATCCTATTAACATTTACTGACTAATAATTTTTGCTATATATGCTGTTTGGTTTTGTTTTGTTTTGTTTTTGTATTTCCTATATTGGACAACCAAGCTAGTCAGTATCACTTGACTTGCTTGTCAGTTTCAGCATTCAGTTTTCATCCTAGTGAATGTCCTGTTTGAATTCCAAATATCTGAGAAACTCTATTCAGGCAAACTTTCCACTGGAAATAATATTTTAAATATATATTTCTATTGAATGTCATGTATGCAAAGCATTATTCTGACATCTCTTGTTTTGAACCTTTGAGTATATAAAACTTCAGTGATGAGCAACCCCTTTAAAAAAAATTAAAAATGAATAGAATCGTGAGTAGGGGAAAAAAAAAACCTGAGCAGTAATTTGCAGGAGACAGGTAAAACCACCTATGGTATGTATGTCTACACTACAGCGTTATTTTGAAATAGTTATTTCGAAATAGCTGATTCGAAATAACACGTCTACACACAAAATGCATTTCAAAATAGCATTTTGCTATTTTGAAATAGCGCATCCACGCTGAGTGGATGCTGAATCGCATTTAAGGCCAGCCGGTCTCAGGTTTCCCTGCTTGCTTGCCTACCTCAATGAGGGTATGTCTACACTAGCCCCCTAATTTGAACTAGGGAGGCTAATGTAGGCATTCGAAGGTGCAAATCAAGCCTGGGATTTAAATATCCTGCGCTTCACTTGCATCTTCCCGGCTGGTCGCCATTTTTGAAATTTACAAGTCCGGACTAACTGTCCGCGTCTACACACGGCAGGGACCCAGTAGTTTGAATTAAAGCCCTAGTTCGAACTACCTGTTATTCCTCCTGGAATGAAGTTTAACAGGTAGTTCAATTTAGGGGCTTTAAATCGACCGGCTGGGAAGATGCAAATCAAGCGCGGGATATTTAAATCCCAGGCTTGATTTGCACCTTCGAATGCCTACATTAGCCTCCCTAGTTCAAATTAGGGGGCTAGTGTAGACATACCCTCATTGAGGTAGGCAAGCAAGCAGGGAAACCTGAGACCGGCTGGCCTTAAATGCGATTCAGCATCCACTCAGCGTGGATGCGCTATTTCAAAATAGCAAAATGCTATTTTGAAATGCATTTTGTGTGTAGACGTGTTATTTCGAATCAGCTATTTCGAAATAACTATTTCAAAATAACGCTGTAGTGTAGACATACATACCATAGGTGGTTTTACCTGTCTCCTGCAAATTACTGCTCAGGTTTTTTTTTTCCCCTACTCACGATTCTATTCATTTTTAATTTTTTTTAAAGGGGTTGCTCATCACTGAAGTTTTATATACTCAAAGGTTCGGGGGGGGGGGGGTGAACCTCTGGGGAGATGGGGAAAAGGAGGTGGGAGAGAGGAAGAGACAGGCTGGGAGAGAGGAGGGGGAACCTGGGAGGAGAGAGCTAGAAGGGGGAAGCAAGAGGAAGAAGGGGGAGGGGAAGCTCAGGGTTGGGGGTCTCGCCGGACCAACTTGATTTTCATGCAAACCTGCTCCTGGGTTCACATGTGGCCTTTGGTGGCCAGGCTGGCAGCTATCCTGCCATAGGTGGCCGCGTTCCTCTGTCCAGTGCAGAGATCATGGACTTTGGGGGCATACCTCCCAAATCTGAATAAGGTCCGTGATCTCCACCCTGGATCAGGAAGGCGCCTGCCTTCTCCGAGCCCTGGCAGATTCCTGGGAGCTGGCATTGCCCCTGGGGGGCGGTGGAGGGCTGGCTGCCAGTGGCTTGCTGGCTCATGTTTTGGGGCCACTGGCTCAGAGGCAGTGACTTGCAGGCTTGGAGCTGGCACAGGCACTGTGGCCAGAGTCAACCCCTTTAAGGGTTCCGGGGAGGAGGTAGGGAGAGGAGTGTTCTTGGTTGAGGCTGGAGTGGCCACCAGGGCATCCTGGGGAGGCTGGAGGCCCCCTATTTCGATATGAGTATCTATACAGCACTTGTTTCGAAATAGCTATTTCGAATTTGGCATTGTTCCTCATGGAATGAGGTTTACCAAATCTGAAATAAGCACTCCGCTATTTTGAATTAATTTTGAAATAGCGGTTTGGCTGTGTAAGCGCTAGTAAAGTTATTTCAAAATAACTTTGCTGTGTAGACATCCCCATACAGATTCTAATGGTCTCAGATTAAAATAAGCATGAGGAGCGATAGGGACAAAAATGCAATCTGTGCTCCTTAGTTTCACAGTTGAGTACTGGTTAGTTTTTGGGAGGTGTTTTCTAGTTGGATACGGAAATAAAGTGACACTAAAGTGACACCAGTGATGCTCTCTTGGCAGAACTGTACAGTTACACGGAGGGTCCAGAGTTCCAGCTGAATCGAAAATGCTTTGAGGAGGATTTTAGGGTCCATGGTAAGAGAATTCTCTTCCCTCCCACGTTGTACTGGGGGGGGTGTTGTCACCTGTACTAGAACATCATAAATAGGAAACAGAAGGGTGGATGTGCCACTGTCCCTGTGCCAGAAGGAAGGAACCAGCCACATGCATTGATTCCTTGCTTCCCATAGGTTGGGTTTGCTGACGAACCTCAGTGTTCACCAGACATGTTGTGATGTGCTGCTTCTGTGAATTGGAGCAGAAAGAGGAGGTTAGCAGCTGGGACCTGCTCTGCACTTAGCACGCTTCGATAGACGAGGTGGTTAATTGGGTCCGCCTTAGCTGTGCTGTAAAATTGGCAAGTTTGCCCATTAAGAACAGCCATCTCCTTGCAAGAAGGCTGTGGCTGTTCTGACTTCTGATGCGGAGTCAGACAGAGGCTGATTAATCTTGGCCTGCTAGAAGGCTTTAAACTCTTCTCTCTGCTGGCCCTGCAATGCTGTCCCAAGGCTCGGCCCTGCAGTTGAGGGTTTGGCTCTCCATCTCCGGTGAATGCTCTGTATCTTCTCTCTCCATCTTACGTCCTATGAGAGAATTGCAGCTCTACCTGCTTTCTCGTTCCCTGCTCTTGGAGAGATGAAGATACGTCCCGGGGAACCACGTCTCCTAAAACGACCTATGCTCGGCTTTTCAGTGCCAGATAAAAAATGGACCGAGCTGGACCACAACCAGCATCGTACTCATGCCATGCGGCTCCTCGATGGGCTGGAGGTCACTGCCAGGGAGAAGAGGCTGAAGGTGGCCCGAGCCATCCTCTACGTCGCGCAAGGTGCGTTGCAGTGTTGGGAAAAGCTTGGGTCCTCTTCTGAAATCCCTGTGAGCTTTTCTGTGCTAACGGGACACTTAGGTTAGAACCATCTGTCTATAACCAGCTTCCCGCCCCTGCCTGCTGCCGCCATCTCTTTGTGCCTCTTACTCAGGCCGGGCAACAACGTCACATAGTCAGTTTCCCCTTTGTTCCCAGCTGGAGTCTTGCTTAGGGCCGGATTCGGAAGCACAGCACAGACCCCCCAATGAGGGGTGGCCGACGGGGGCGTCTGTCTAGGCAAAGGTGGATTTGAGCTGCCGAGATGCACTCTCCAGAGGGGCCTCTAATAATAACAATGATGTTTAAGCCACCTGGGCTGTCCCCACCTTCTGCCTGCACCAAGGGCTGATGTGGCCCCAGCCAGGTTAGGAGCAGCTTGGGGGCTAGAAGTAGCCTCCCTTTGGCTGCCGGTGGAATGCTGCGGAGCCCAGAGTGGCCGTGATGCTGAACGCTACAGACACTCTCTCCCGCGCCCCCAGCCCTGGTGTCTGCTGCTCGGGCAGCATGGCCGTGCAGCTGAGCAGCACCCAGCTGCCACAGGAGAAGTGCCCCAAGCGCCTCTGGGCTGGGCCAGAATCTGGCCCCTGGTTCTCTTGCACTCGCTCAGTGTTGCGAAAGCTTCAGGGGAATCTTTAACTCCAGCTGGATCCTTTGAACCGAAAAGCATTTCTCTTAAATATTTGTCCAGCTTCCAGTGCAGGCGCTGGGCCGCCGGGATGGGAGTCTGTTGCATCCTTTGCCCAGTTCAGCCACTACTTTACTTTTCCCTGCTGGCCCCTGGAGCAAGCCCTCCCCCGCTCTCGGTGCGGGCCTGCCTGCCTGCGAGGCGAGGATCCCTTGGCGGGGGTCGGCAGAGGGGCCAATAGTCCCGTTGTTGCAGGCACCTTCGGGGAGTGTGGCTCCGAGGCGGAAGTGCAGGCCTGGATGCGCTATAACATTTTCTTGCTGCTGGAAGTTGGGACCTTCAATGCTTTGGTGGAGCTTCTGAACATGGAGATTGAGTGAGTACCCTGGCGCAGGGGTGCTCCTGAGCAGCTCGCTTGGCTGTGTGTCCAGTCTGAGGAAGATGCCCCCTCGCTAGCAGCTCTGCCCCCAATCCCGTTCCCATCGGCGCCAGGTTCACGGCTGCAAGTCCCTCGTGGGGAGAATCTGCCCTGGCACGTCAGCAGCTGGCACCGCAGGGGGCAGTTTTGCGTGGGAGGGAGGGTTTCTGAGACAGGCCTGGGAGCCAGGAGTCCTGGCCCTGAGGTGGCATCCTGTGGAGAGGCAGGCGGCTCCCTGCCTGCCGGGGAGGGGGTTCGGGAGCCGTTGAGGAAGCCCAGCTGCAGCAACTGCTAATGTGATTTTGTGCCCCTCGGAGAGGCGTGTCCTTCCTCTGGCTCTGAGGGGCTGGGGCTGAGGGACTCGGTCGCCCAGTGCCGGGGGGCGTAGGGGGAAGTGGCCAGCTCTCCTGTGTGTTCTCTCGGGTGGCTGACGGCGGTGGTGAGACCTCCCCGGGGAGATGTGCACATCCTGATGCGGGGCTCTGACTCTCTCCTGCCTCAGTAACAGTGCCGCCTGCAGCAGTGCCGTGAGGAAGCCGGCCATCTCCCTGGCCGACAGCACGGACCTGAGGTGAGTGGCCTTTGTCCTGGGGCAGGGTGAGGAGAGGCTCCTGAAGGTCAGGCCTCACGGCCGGGGGTTCAGAAAGGAGCTCTGCCGGGGGCGCTCGGGAGTGTTTCCTTCCTCTGAGGGGCAGGGTGGCCCGCAGGCCAGGCGCTCTTTCCGGAGTGCGGACTCGCCATGGGCTCTGCGCCTCGTTTACCCCACCTACGCGACGGGCCTGAGACCCGCCTTGTCACAGCAAGTTGGGCCCTGTGCTAGCAGCGTTAATGCCAGGCTGGAGGCTGGATTGACGGGCAAGTAGGACTGCCAGACGGGCAGACCGTGTCCTAAGCCAGTGCGTGCGCGCGCAGGGACTCACTTTGCCTGGGTCAAAAGCCGGGGCGGAGGGAGCGCTCTGCTCGGGTTGGTGGCCCTTTCGGAAGCTACACGCTTCGCTGAGAATAGCGCGTGCGTCAGGGAGACTGCTCCGGAGCGGGGCTGGTTTGTGTCGGAAAGGGGAGCCTGCCCAGTTTTCGGCCTGGGGCGCGCGGTGCTTTGGCTTGGGAAGGTCGTGATGCTTTGGTCTAATTCCAGTTGTTGGCTTGGTGCGGGGCTGACCGGGGGGTTGTTTGGTGGCTGTCACGTACAGCCTGTCAGACGGATCTGCTGGGGACCCTTCTGGCCTTAAGCTCTGTCACCTTGAAGGATCTGGGTGGGGAGGGGAAAAGAGTCTTGGCTTTAGATTGGAGCAAAATGTTCCTCATCCTGGGCTCCTTCCCCTGCCCTGGAGGCTGTGGCCTGCCAGTTGGGGAACGTGCGCGCCTCTGGAGGCTTCCTCGCCCCCAGCTCCAGGACCTGAGCTGAGCCGTGCCTCGGGGGAGCAGAGCGTGGGGCTGCCTTTGATGTGCTGTTAGATCCAGAAGGCTCTCGGCAGCTTGGCTGAGACCTGCCTGCCCCGGCTCCTGCCCGGTTCTGTCTGATGCCGCGCTTTGCAGGGTGCTGCTGAACATCATGTACCTGGCCGTGGAGACCGTCCGGCAGGAGGCTGAGGGAGACAAGGCGGAGTGGAAGACGATGAGGGAGACCTTCCGAGCGGAGCTAGGTATGAGCCTGGGGCGGGAAGCAGGGCCGGGCAGGCCACCGCAGTGTCCTCTAAAGATGCTGAGCTGGGACCTGGAAGCTCCCTCGTAATTCAGATCTGGCCCAGGTCCTCTCGGCCGTGTGGATTCCTGGGCCCCCTCCCAGTGCCCAGGAGCCATGGACTCCGCTCCCAGGGCTGCTCCTCGTCTGTCTGGGCAAATCCGCCGATGCTTGAATGAGCCGTGGAGACAGGATCCTTTGGCGTTTGGCAGAGAATTCTCTGGAGCGGGGCTTAGCATGCGGGGGCGGAGCCAAGCAGGCCAGCATCCCCACTGCCCGGCTTGCATCTCTGCTGTGGCCACGCAGGGGGAGGAAAGAGCCACTGGAAGGGAGGTTAGGAGCTGGCAGGGTGTCTGAGGCCGGGGGCGGGGCTCTCCAGGCCAGCGTGGCTGTCATGGTGTGCGTGCTTCCAGGAGCCCCGCAGCACACCCACGAGCCCTTCTCCGTGATGCTCTTCGGGATGGTGACCAAGTTCTGCAGCGGCCACGCCCCGCACTTCCCCATGAAGAAGGTGCTGCTGCTGCTCTGGAAAACCGTGCTGGTAAGAGCCCCGGGGTGGGAGCAGGGAGCCCGCGAGCCTGGAGCTGGCCTCCAGTGAGTCTCTCCTTGGCAGGAAAGCTGGGACCCACTCGGCCTGAAGCAGGCCCGAGGCATTGACTGGCATGCTGTGTCCGTCTGCCCTGCGCACAGCTGAGTGACCATGACCGGGGGCTGCGGGTTGTGGTGGACACAGCTCCGCGAGCTCCTGGCCCAGCGTGCCGGTCGAAAGGGCCGATGTGGCTTGGGTGGCACAGATGGGCATCTCGAGTAGGAACGCAGGAGTTCTTGCCACCGCTGCTGGAAATGCGTGTTCCGTGCAAATTGGAGGAGTCCGAGAAGAATCTCAAACACATGAAGGGTTAGAGAAGCTGCCTCGGCGTGATCGACTCAGGGACGTCGATCTAGTTAGCTGAGAAGGGGACTGGGTGACGTGGTGACCATCCATTACAGGCATTCACGTGTAATATTGGAGTCCTTGATAGACCTGAGAGAGGCCGAGCAGGGTCCAGTGGCTGGGAATTGAAGCTGTACGCCTGCTGGCTGGAACAGGGACAAACGGTGTTTGTGACAGGGAAAGCAAACAGCCGTCGGAAACGTCGATCTAGTTAGCTGAGAAGGGGACTGGGTGACGTGGTGACCATCCATTACAGGCATTCACGTGTAATATTGGAGTCCTTGATAGACCTGAGAGAGGCCGAGCAGGGTCCAGTGGCTGGGAATTGAAGCTGTACGCCTGCTGGCTGGAACAGGGACAAACGGTGTTTGTGACAGGGAAAGCAAACAGCCGTCGGAACAAGCGAGTGGCGGCTTTGCTCACAGGCAGTCGTATCACGTCCCCCCTGGCCACAAGGAGTGACGTGATAACTGGCTGGACGCACAGTGTGAGGTCCAGATGGTGTCATTCTCCGTAGCGCCGTAACGTGGGCAGTCCCCAGGCCGTGGCTTGGGGCTGGTGAAATTCCACAATCCCCCTCCCCATGCTGCTAAACACATCACCAGCAGTCACAGCTGAAGGCACCTTCTGGGTATGAATAACAAGGGTTGTGTGACTGACTTTCTGCAGTCTTGGACTCCAGCTTCCCTTGTGCAGCATACTGCTGTGTTCCTGGAGCAAACAGAGGAGAGAGAACGGTAGGGCCCTGGAGCAGTAGCCCATAGTCACTGCTCTGCAGAGGTCCTCTCCCTCTGTGGGGAGGCCTGCTATCCTCATGGTCCAGATGGGGGATTGGGGTGCCAAGAGTCCTGGATGCTCAGGGTGCAAGAGGTGAGATGGTGTCAGCAGTGGGATTAGAGCAGCTCTGGGCTCCCACCTCTAGACCAGATCCTTCTTTCCTGAATGGCTTACTGACCAAGGGGAAGTGCGTCTGTGACTTCTAGACCTGGGATGTCCTGTAGCTAGAACCCAGCGGTGCCTCTGCAGCTTTCCAGCCGTTGGCTTGGCGGCTGCCTTCAGACAGCGCGGTGCCCGATACTCGAGGGTACAGCCAGGCTCGACGTGAAATGGCAGGCCTGTGCGTACGGCTTTGTGGGCAGAGCCCCTCGTCGCTGGGCTCTGTCCACGTGACTTCCTGCCTGGCGGAGGAGCGAGGAGGGAGCCGTGTCCCTGCCGTCACCGGGGGCTTCTCTGCCGCAGTGCACGCTGGGAGGCTTCGAGGAGCTGCAGGCCATGAAGGCTGAGAAGCGGGAGATACTGGGCCTCCCGCCCCTCCCGGAGGACAGCATCAAAGTGATCCGCAGCATGCGGGCCGCGTCCCCGCCGGCCTCCGCCTCCGACCTCATCGAGCAGCAGCAGAAACGCGGGCGGCGGGAGCACAAGGTCTGGCAGAGCGGGGCCGCGGGCATTGTCGCCCGGCCCTAAGGTTGGGCGCTCCAACCTCTAAGCACGAGATCAAACCCAAATACCCCGCCCCTGCTCACTCCAGCCTCCCTCACTTTCTGCAGGTGGGGCAGGGGGCTGGGGCACAGGCTCTGGTCTTGGGCTAAGGGATTTGGAGTGGGAGGGGCTCTGAGCTGAG